TATTGGATCGGACCGTCGGAAGCATCACCCGTCATCAGTAAGATTCCGTGGTTTTGGGGATTGCATCGACGCTGCCGAGTATTACCTCAAATGAAAGATCACATCCCGATGATGATGCACATTCGCATGGCATATCCCTCTTCGAGCTCAACCGACCACGCACCTGGATGGGAATGGACTGATATTGCAGCAGGATTGCAGACTGGCTATAAGCGACCTGAATTCTTACACGATCCTCATGAACTTACTGAAGCGAACCGACAGCAACTACGAGTTATTCAATATGGTGAACGACCCGATTGCAAAGCGGCTTACGAATCTAATCTTACCCGACGCGCGGCTATTCCACATATGGAGGCCGACCCGAATGGCTACGAGAACCACAGAAGCAGCGCCTCGCCATTTTAAGGGAACGCGCACGGCTCCGAGAACGCGGCATGGCAGTTGGCAGCACAGTATCCAAAGACGTCTCACGGAAGCTATGCGAACATGCTCAGCGGAAAGAGGCCTGGTGGAACCACTCTCTTGACGAGCAGCCGACCGAGGCCTTCTACAATCGTGACCTCTCTCGAGTGGCAGAGCTTAGCCGACTTCGCGCAGGCGCCCGCGCTGACCCGAAGAAACGCACCTTCCTCGCCCCCCCCCCCAGCGCGCGACCGACGGCTGCTCACTACACCGACGCTCTGGGCAAAGCTGGCGTCGACGGCGGCCTCGCAGCGCTTCCTGCGCGCATCAGCATCTACATTGAGAACGAAAAGGCCATTGAGAACTTCCACAGTCGCGACGAGACTGATATGCAGCCTGCCGGCGAGCACCAAGTGAACCCCACTAAAGAGTCTCTTCCCGACGCAGCTGAGGATTTGGAGGTTACGGGCAAGCGTATATGGCAGACAAAGTGGAGAAAAGATTCGCCCATCTGGTCATGGCCGATTGAATTCCCGAGCATGCTCGTCTTCTCCAAGTACCTCAGCTGACCTGGATCCCCTCGCAGCGGCGTCGGGCATGCACCGACGGGCGATCAATATACAGCACATGCCCCCCGACACGGACTCGGACTGGAAGCGGCGGCCGCGGGCCGAAACGCACAGGACTCATCGGCCACCCGCCAGACCCGGCGACCTGATCAACGCCGGCTGAATATCGGCGATGGCCATTGCCACGCGCCGAAGATCACGCTCATACACTTGCTTGCGCGCGCGTGATTCAGCAGCCCCCCCTGTGCAATCACACATTAGTCAGACCGTGGCAAGTGGCAAGAAAGGCAAAGAACCGCGAGGAGATCCAGCTCATGATCTAAATCACTGTCTCAGGATGCTGCACGTTTTCTGTCCTTTCTGGCGGCTATACTTACGAAGTGGGATGGTCGACTTCGGCAGCACTTATCAACCCGCCCCCTGGGCGCGCGGGGGAACCCGCGCTCGCGGGCGCGAGGCCTTCATGATGTTGAGTCGGATCGCCGCGCACAAGCTCCGCAAGGCACACATTCCCCACCAAGTAAAAAGCTACGATATGCGGAACGCCTTCGGCACAGGAAGCACTCGACGTTTACTCGCTGCCCATCGGGCACGCACAGAGGACGAGCGCAACGAGGATATGCCCACACAACATCGGACGAGGGCTACGATTAGAACCGACGCCAGCGATGCGACACTTGGCCTTCGCCCTCAGAGCGGAGGCCGCATGGGCGATGGCAGCGAGCCTGAGCTGTTTTACGGAATCCTTCTACCCACTGAACATCGAATGGGATCAAGAATCAAGAGTTTACATATATATTTGGAGACGGCATGGCAGCTACCAATCCTATCACTGGCAACGCACATCGCATTGATATGGGAGCTTTTATCGACGACATCATTCGCACTTTATCATTCCTGACGGCACGATCCGGCAGGCACTGGCCATTGATTGCATTGACGTCCCCATCTTAAATGCCAAGTTGCAGAAAGGCGAGTGCGGCCAGAACGCCGACGAGCAGGAGACTCTCGCACGGCTGGCGACCAGTGCAGCTACAAGACATAGGCTGAGCAGCAGCTCAGCGGCACACGCATGACGAACTTCATTCACCTCGGCTCCTACATCCACGTCGACGGCTACAACGCACGCGAGATTGAGGAACGGATTCGAGCATGCAATATTGGTTGAAGACGGATGAATAGACATCGCCCACACCAAGACGTTGCAAAAGATTCGTCTTCCTGGCGAATATCGCGAGCCGCGCGTGATCAGGCCTGGAGGCCCTGGTCATCGCGCGCGCAGAGACAGCGCGCATCGACGCAAGCTTGGCAAGAAAAGATGCGCTGCATGCTGCTCGGGGAAGCTGATTATGTTGACGACGACGGCAAACGCTCGTCATTGACTACCAAAGAACTGTTCATTGTCTGAGGCATCGCCCCCACTTCTCTGGCGCTCTGCGTGCGACGGCTCAAATGGCGGCAAACCCTCAGCGCCGACGCTTCTCATCATGACAAGTTCCTGGCAGGTTCCTTCGGGCGTTGCAAGATTGAAGACCAGGCCGCCGCTCAGAGCCTACCTACCTGCGCCTTTACTCTGCTGCCTAACGGGGCCCTCAGTGCCGACCCATCCGTGCACCCCTGGGCCCGCCAGCTCCGATGGGACTTTCAGAGTGCTCTTGAGGCACCCGTCTCAGACGAATTAAAAGCCATCTGGCATACCAACAGCAGCGCTCAGGAGCTCGTCACCAACTCCGAGGTTCAGGGGCCTTCCAGAGGATCGACTTCGGGTATCTCCGCCAGGCATGGGCATATCAGTCCTGGGACCCTCCCGAGCACCCCCACATGCCCTCGTACGAGCCCCCCGGGGACCCCGACAGCGACCCAGAGGACCCGAACCCGCTCGCCTGCAACATCAAGGGCCGCACGCGGGCATTCCGCACTTTTTCTGCATTTATTATACACCGACGTCGGCCGCCTTGCCAGGACATGAAGCCCCGACCCTGCACTCGACCATTACCATCGATAACCGATGCCTATTATGCGACAATGTATATTGCCCACTCGTCATTGCCAATATCATCATCGACGGTCTTGTGTGGAAGGAAGATGTTTTATCGATCGCAGTCTGCACGCACACACGCTTGGGTTCCGTCTACCAGCACCAAATGCCCTCTGGCACACATTAGTCCTAATCCAGACTGTCAGCGGAATTATCAGGACCCCCAGGCTCACCGATATACATATAACGGCGCACCGGGTCCGGGGGCCCGGGGCCGGGACCTCGACCACAAATGTGGGCCCCGGGGGGCCCGGAGGCTCGTCGGGGCTTGCAGGAGGCCTCCCCGGTCAGACAAGACGGCCCCAAAAGCGCCCAAGACGGCACAAGAAACTTCCAAGAGGCCTCCAAGAGGGCTCCGAGATGCTGAAGATGGCCTCCAGACGTCCAAGGACGCCCCCAAGAGGCCCCAAGAAGCCTCCAACATGCGTCCCAAGAGGGCCCCTAGACGCAAAAGTTGGCCCATTCCCTTCGTAAAACGTACATGTTCAACAAAGTTGTCTTTTGGGCTTTCCGACGTTACAGGACGGCCCAAGAGGCGCCCAAGACCGCCCCAAGACGGCCCAAGAAGCTTCAAAGAGGGCCCCAGGACAGCCCAAGAGGGCCCCAAGACGGCCCAAGAGGCGCCCAAGATGGCCCAAGAGGGCCCCAAGACGGGCCCAAGAGGGGGCCCAGAGGGGGACCACGAACCGCAAGCTCGAGCCTTCCGCCCCAAGAGGCCGCCAGGAGGCCCCCAGGAGGCCCCTCAAGAGGCCCCAGGAGACCCCCAAGAGGCCCAAAGGAGGCCCCGAGAAGCCCCAAATCGGCCCCCACAATGCTTCGAACCTGCTTCCAGGAGGCCCCCGACAGGTTCAGAGGCTCCCAAGAAGCTACGTCAAACTCCCAGCGAGCGGCCGGACGAGGCCCCCCAAAAAATCCCAAGAGGGTTCCAGCATTTGTATCCTTCAGCGCTCTCTGGCCTTCTTCCCCCTGCCCCCTTCCCTGCGACTTTCGTTGACTCAAGCTCGCCTCCTCTCCATTTCCTCTCTCTGCCTCTCTCTCTCTCTCTCTCTCTCTGTCTTCTTCTCTCTCTCTCTCTCTCTCCATCTCTCTCTCTCTCTCTCTCTCCTTCGCTCTCTGTGTGTCTGTCTCTCTCTCTCTCTCTCTCTCCCTCTCTTTCTCTCTCTTTCCCTTTCTTCCTTTCAGATTCCGTGTCTTTGCGACCTTCTACAGTCCCCGACGTCGCCACGGCTGGATCCGCTCGAGCGTGTCTTGTGATGTGCGGCGGTGCGAAGCCCGTCCCACTGATCAAGGCACAGGTACGAAATGATGGGTCCATCATTTCTTGCCTTCCCATGTGCGTTTTCCCAATCGATTCCTGGGCCCGAGGTCGCAAAAATTACGACGTCGGAGGTCTGGGGAGGCGGGAAGCACGACCTGGACCTCCGACGTCTTGGAAAAATCACGACGGCGGTTTCGGTCAATTTTCGGCCTCCGGGGCCCCTCGCAGGGTCCCGGGACCGTCAGAAAACGACTCAGGATGAAAAAAAAAACATCCCCAGGAAGTCGTCGAGAGGTCCAGGGGCCGCGCACAGAAAGCATCACGACATCGGACGTCCAGAGAGGAGGTAGGAACACGAGGAGGAGGGAGCCCAGACCTCCTAGCGACGCAACACCAAAGACAACAAAAGCTTCCCCGCGACTTCCCCCAGAGACTCTAACTACAGAAACTCCTTTCGTATTCCGGCCAGAAGCATCCAGAAACGATGTACATTAGCCCTGGCGGGGGGAATGATGGCGATGGTGATGTTCATGATGACGACGGTGACGATCCTAGCTAGAACCTAAGCGCGCGCGAAGCGCGCGCGTGGTTCTAGTAACATCTACGCACGCACGTCCCCCCGTCGCCACGGGGCCCCTGGCTCAAGAGACTCCCACGTTCCTCGCAAGTTGCGCAAGGACGTGTTCATACACCACTTTCACGACAGTTACCTCAGCCTGCCTGGAAGCCCGCCGACACCGCACTCCCTAGACGAGAAGTCCGCCTCGCTGCGGACAGACTACTTGGAGTCGTACCTCGCGCCGCTGCTACAGTGGCCACAACACGTACACGGAGGACAACTGTGACTCGTACGCTTACACGCACAGCTTTGGGCGCGTCTACCTTCGCAGCCGACCAGGCTGTCAGCTCAAGTGCACTTACTTCGACGCCTGCTCTGCCTCGGCCACCTCGGTCACCCGACCCCGAGTCACCAGATGGTGGAGCAGGCCCAGGAACGCAAGCCTCGAGCAGTGCGGAGAGGCCCCCCACCGTCCTTACCCAAGTCTGGGAATTATGGCAACGGATCCAAGGACGGCGAACAACCAGCGCAGCGACCGCGGACGGCTCGCAGCCAGAGGGGGGCCTCAGCGGCTTCAGCAGCACTGGCACCTCAGCCACCAGCAGCGGCAGAGGCGGCAGAGGACGCACCGATGGAGGGCGAAGAGGTCGAGGAGGAAGAGGGCCGACGGCGACGCCGCAGAGGCGGCGGGCGAGCTCACAGAGGCCAACACACCGGGAAGAGTTGGACGAGCAAGGACAATAATCTTCATTCGTCACTCCTGACACTCATGACGTTGGCATTACAGAACACACAGCGGATCAGACTGATGATGTGCGCAGTGGCAGACACGTGTACGATGAAGATCGCCCGCCCGATCATCAGCCACATCACGGAAGAGCTGGAGGGCTTCCGCGAGAGGGTCAACGGCCTACGATCGGCGAAGGACAAAGAAGGTCTCAAGCACTTGGGACCCCCGACCCCCGCGCTGGCCCTGGCGATGCTCGAGGGCCTTCAGGCTTGCGAGGTAGGCGGCCGAGTAGGGACGCAAGTGGACGAGTACCTCGAGAAATGCCAGCCGAAGGACCACGAGACCAAGCCGACAATCGACATGGACCAGATCAACGATCAAGTACACTTCATCAGAGTCGAGAAGACCGCAGACCCAACATCGCCAAGCTAGTGCTGGGCATCAACGACTGGGACGGCCGCGCCATGCTCTTAGATGGCCTTCGGGCCGAGGGACAGACATCCCATCACCTGGGGCCTGCCCCAGCGGGCTGGCTGGAAGAGGGGATCCCGGTTTGGCTGGAGCACTTTCGGAAGACCGCCGCTTAATTTTCGTCCAGGGCGATACTCTCCCAGCGTCTACACCAGCACCGACGCCAGCTCAGAGACCATTTCCGCCTGCGTCAGAACACATCGTCGTGAATGCCGATTCGGCCATATGGGAAGTTGATGATGGGGCTGCAGACTTATTTTCCTGAGGAGATGGTCCGCCGACCCCCTTAGCACCGTCCCCGCCGTGTCCCAGCGGGGCAGGTTGATGTGCACAGTTTTGACTCCGGCCGCGTCCTTCTCCTCCTCCTCCTCCTCCTCCTCCTCCTCCTCCTCCTCCACCTCCTCCGTTAACTTTCGCCCGCCTTATCACAACGTAGAGAACATATCCGTGATGAACGCCAGTTTCAGGGTCTCTATCAACATGCAATTCTTGTCCGCCCGCCAATTGCGCGCGGCACCGTTGCAGCGCGCGGGCTTTTAAGGCAAGAGGCAGCCCTCCAGTTCGGAAGCGCTGCAGCGGCGAGCAAGACATGTATACCCTTTTTCGAGGGATTCGGCGGTGTCGCCCGAGGCCTCGGTGTCGTGTGGCATGGCCGTCTCACTCCCGCCTGTGGTAGCGTCCATCAGTACATGTACAGTATGTGGAACGATTGGCACCCGGGCATCCGGGCACCCGGGCCCAGCCACCGAACCGGCGGCGAACCCGGGCACCCGAGCACCTGGGCACCCGGGCCCGGCCACCGAATCGGCGGCAAACCTCACCTACCTTTAAGTCTGCTAGGACCCCTACAGAGGCAAGCTCAGATTGGGGAAGAAAAAAATGGTCCTGGGAAAAGGGGTGGGACCTCTGGGGGTCGACGTTGTGGAGGACCTTTTTAGTTTATTACATTATATATATATATATATATATACATACAAACAAACAAACAAACAAACAAACAAACAAACAAACAAACAACCAAACAAAAACGACGCTGGGGGTCTGGGCCCAGCGGGCCCAGGTCGCCGGCGCCCGTGTCTTCTGGCTGGCTGCCAGAGGGCCACGTGCAGCAGCGGCGGCTCCAGGCTATGCGCGAGCCGCCGTTTGTGTTTCGAGCCTCCGGCCTGGGGCTGCATGGGCCGACTGCGCGCGAGTTCGTGCAGGCACGTGATGGGCACCCTCCTCGGAGGTGGGCCGAGCGCTCCGCGCTTGGCCAGCTCGGGTGTTTTCTGCTGGGCGTACAGTGGGGGGCCTATGCCGAGAAACAGCCTGCTCGCCTCCAGGGTGCCCTGGGCTTCTTGGGTTTCGATGGCTTTGCGGTGGAAAGCGTGACGCCACCACGCCAAAAATCAATAAACGTCCCGGGGTCTCAGGGTTGGGTTTTTTATGGAAGGTTTCTTGTGGTCGAGCCCCTTCTGCAAATCTGGCGGGTTTAGGTGGTTCAAAGATGGTGACCTTCCAGGAGGGCTAAAAAATAGCACCAGGACCTTGACGTTTAAATTCCTGTCGAAGTTTTAAGAAGTCAAGATAGGTCCATAGATCTGGAGGGTTATTGTTTGCTGCAATCTGGAAAGCCTCCCACCACCACCCACCCCCCTAGGGACCCCCCCACCCGCAGCCCCCCCCACCCCCACCCCACCCCACCCCCACCAGGGAAGGGTTCAAAGGGAAGGCGCTTGCCTTTTGACTCGAGTGCGACCTGGGTCGATTCACCTCGGGCTGGCGAGCTTGGAGAGCCCCGGATTGTGGGGGAGAGAGGGAGGGAGAGCTTGGACTAGAGAAGCGCCTCTCGGGAGCACCCTGGGACGATCCCCCCCGGACTGCCCCTCACGCGCGTCAAGAGGGCCGGCGGATTCGTGACACTCGCCACACCTCTTCCCAGCGTCTCGCATGCGCTCTGATTAATCTTGCGCCTCCCCTGGCGCTCTGCCCTGGTGGCCTCCCCCTCTCCGCCTGCCGGTCCGGCCTCGCCCAGAACTGCATCCGTTTCCCGTCCCAGCGTGAAGTCGGGCCTCTCCCTCCTCTACAGGAGGAAAATTCAAAAATGGTCACTTGAAAGAACCAAAAAATGTCAGGGGACGATTCTTCTACCATGTTTTAGCATGGTTTGATTCTGCTTGATTTTTCGTCCCAAATCTGCCTGTAGGGAGGCATGCCCGACCCAACCCCAGCGCCGCGCTCCCCCTGCTCTCCCTGCTCTCTCTCTCTCCGCGGCCGCGCCTCCCGGCCCTGCCCCGCCCCGCCGCCTGCTTGCATCCGTCGCGACATAGCTCGCGCGATAGCTGCAGGGGCCGGGACCCGAACCCCCACCGCCGCCTCTGCTCCTCCCGCGGCTGTCGGCAAGAGCACGCACGGGAGACGACGCAAGCACAACGGGGCCGCTCATGCTGACATTCGGTGTCGTTTAACCAACCCCCCATCCCCATCCCCATCACCTTCGAGACCCCCACCAAGTTGCCCCCCCAGATGGGGACACACCCCTCGAAACCCTGAGGATGCGGCCTATATCCCCATCTAGGGGGGTAAATCGGCCAGTGGGGCCCAGGCCACGCCGCTGGGGATGGGGATCGGTTAAACGATGCTCAGACACTCGCGCGCAAGTCTCCCGCGCAAGGTCGCACGCGGGCGCCCTCTTCTCCACGCGGTGTGCCGAGCCGGCGGCCCGCGCAAGCCGCGGCGTGAGGAGTCGATGTGTCTTCTGGCGTCAGACCCGTTCGCTGTCGCCGCTCACGTGCAGCTCCCCCGGCGGGCGTGCCAGTTCTCCCCCTTCTGCCCCCCCCAGGTGCGGGCAGGTCCGTGGGCTCCACAGCCGTGGTGGTGCCGCAGTCGGCGCTGCGCGCAGTGCCGCCCCCCGCCGGCACCATCATCGATGAGCCGTGGGTGGCGCTGGAGGCCTGCCTCGGCGCTCGCCGGCTCCAGCGGGGGGGGAGGGCTACCAGTAGACTCTGGAGGATCGGTCCGGGTACGGGAAAGCATGGGTACTAGAACAGTCAGCAGTTCTTGGTTCTGTTGGGCAGGACTCGCTGTCGGCGTCGCCGCGGACGTGGTCCATGCGAGGCAGGGTTCTGCCAACAGCGGCCGATGTTGGTTTTGGACCAGATTTGCAGTTGGGCATCGTACCCATTCGTTCCGTACCCGTTTCGGGCGTCCAATCCAAATCAGTTGTGTGCGCAGCACGTTCTGTGCAGCCAGAGGAGCTCACGATAGCTCTGAACGCTTTGGCGGGCGTGCCAACTCTGGTTGGTAGAAGGACCAGCAGGTTGAGTGCGTTGGTGCATCTCGCTCGAGCTCCTGCTGCCGCCGCTACTGGCACCAGCATGAGGCATCTCACGATGCCTGACGTGAGTGACGCGTGGATGTGACCCCATCCTCCTCCTCATCATCCTCCCTCTATATGACACCACGATGCGACTGATGTCCCAGAGCTATTTGTAGGACGTGCCTCAGTCACGGGAGGTACATGCGCTTGGCAAGCACACTGATTTCTCACGATGGGCCGCCCAATCAGCTGGCAAGGAGGAGAGGGGACAGGAGGAAGAAGAAACGCTTTCGGGCAGTATGGCAGCGCCGAGGGCCAAGACAGCGCGGCAAGCACGCGACGGCTTTTTTTTTCCCGGAAAGGGCATAGGCCCAGGGTTCTCTTTTCCTATGTAAACATGTCCCCGGTGCCCAACTTGAAGGAGGCCGGCGGATTCTTTCCCTGATAAATATCGAGGTCGAAGGAGGCCGGCGGATTAAAATTTGAGGATGTCTCTGGCGAAACGCTTGTTTTTGAAATCCCGATCGATAAATCACAGGGTGCGGGACACCTCAGCACGACCACACCCCCAGCATGACCACACCCCAGCACGACCACGCCCAGCACGACCACGCCCCAGCACGACCACACCCCAGCACGACCACACCCCAGCACGACCACACCCCAGCACGACCACACCCCAGCACGCACGACCACACCCCAGCACCAGCACGACCACACCCCAGCACGACCCGATCGATAAATCACAGGGTGCGGACCACCCCAGCACGACCACACCCCAGCACGACCCCACCCCAGCACGACCCCACCCCAGCACGACCACGCCCCAGCACGACCACACCCCAGCACGACCACACCCCAGCACGACCACACCCCAGCACGACCCCACCCCAGCACGACCCCACCCTAGCACGACCACACCCCAGCACGACCACACCCCAGAACGACCACACCCCAGCACGACCCCACCCAAGCACGACCCCACCCCAGCACGACCACACCCCAGCACGACCACACCCCAGCAGGACCCCACCCCAGCACGACCCCACCCCAGCAAGACCACACCCCAGCACGACCTCACCACAGCACGACCACACCCCAGCACGACCACGCCCCACGACACGACCACGCCCCAGCACGACCACGCCCCAGCACGACCACCCCCCAGCACGACCACCCCCCCAGCACGACCACCCCCCAGCACGACCACCCCCCAGCACGACCACACCCCAGCACGACCACTCCCCAGCACGACCACACCGCCTTGGTTGAGTGGTTGCCTGTCGTCGTGGAATGTTTCGTGGGGTGTCTCGTGGAATGTTTCGCGGGGTGTCTCGTGGAATGTTTCGTGAGGTGTCTCGTGGAATGTTTCGTGAGGTGTCTCGTGGGATGTTTCGTGAAGTGTCTCGTGGGATGTTTCGTGAGGTGTTGCCCAGTTGGGTATCGTGAAAACGTGTCCATGCTCCACATGTCTATATCCCTTTCCGGGTTCGTGGGTCCATCATGTTTTGCTATGTTCGGCCTCTGGGGCCCTTACCGGGCCTCGTGACCGTCACAAAACGACTCGGGACGAGGAGATTTCTGGGGACCCTGGAGAGGGGGCAGGAGGAGGAGGAGGGAGGAGGAGGGGGAGGAGGAGGAGTAGGAGGAGGAGGAGAGAGGAGGAGGGGGGAGGAGGAGGAGGGAGGAGGGGAGGAGGGGGAGGAGGAGGAGGAGGAGGACCCTGGATGGAGAAAATCTCGACGTCGCGTCTCCGGGGAGGCCCTGCCGAGGCCGGGCCCCCGGCCTAAGGCGCAGGGCCGGCCGCAGGGGCAGGCCGAGAGCGGCGGCCGCAGGGGGGCGCCCGAGGGCGGCCGGCCGCTGCGTTGTTCTGCTCGTCTCGCTCCGCGTCGGCAGGGCCCGGAGGTGCGGGTCACCCCGGGAGGGGGAGGAGGAGGAGGGGGAGGGGAGGAGGAGGAGGAGGAGGAGGAGGAGGAGGAGGAGGAGGAGGAGGAGGAGGAGGTCCGTAGCCATTTTGGCTCAAGTCCGGAGCTGTTTTGGCTCAGGACCTGACCTTACTGGCAAGGGGGAGTTGCGGCCCCCACAGTGCCCCTCGTGTGCCAGGTCAGACGAGGATTCTGGCGTTCTGTGAGCTCCTGTTGGAGCATTCTCTTTCGATTTCTCTCCCTGATGGTGCCAGGCCCTTTCCCTCATGCGCCCTGGGTCAAGGAGGGCGACGAGGGCTGGTCTCTTGCTAAAGGTCGCCGTGGCAAGGCTCAAGTCTCGAACTTTGCATGCCCGTCCTGTGGTTGTAAGAAGAGCAGCGCCAATGCCACGCATTGCAAGCACTGTGCGCACCCTCTTCCTCGGCTGCTTCCTGGTGCTGGGCTTCCTGCTGGTGGTCGCTGGGCTGCCTCTGGCCCCCCTGGTTACTGGCTTGAGTACGGCGTCAGCGGCAAGGGGGCGTCCTTCCAGTACGGCGGGGGCAAAGCTGGTGGTCGAGGGCCTTGTGGCAAAGGCAAGGGCAAAGGCTACTACGGCGGGGACAAGACGATGTGGGACGTGCTGGCTCGTCAAGGAGATTCGCGTGCTGG